TGGGTGGAAGCCCAAAATGTTCAGTTGTCATTACGTTTTTATAATAGGTTTTAAGGTGCGGCTTTTAAACTCTGACTCAGCTACTTTTCAAAATCCATCACCCTATGTCCCGGGGTTGAAGTTATCTACTTGACGAATTTACCAGCAGATCATCCTAATAGGGTGCTCATTCTGTATGCTGTTCACCGTTCAACAGTAATAAGAAATTCACCTAAAATTATGATAAATTATCAAAAAAGAAAGCTATTTATACCAATCCACGTATTCCTGAAACTGAAATACATAAAATGAGACTTCAAGATAAATCTTTCACCTCTCGATCAAGTAATAAATAACCAGTTTTAGTGGAAAAAGTTGAGGATACCCAGGCTCAATTTTTAAAACTGTTTCAAACTTGACGGTATGTGGGCGACGCAACCTGCTCTGAAACAATCAAAAATAGAGTATTTAAAAAAACGTTCATTTAAAAATAATCCCTCCCGAGTTTTTGTCGCCCGCATTTTTCCGGTTCCTTTGATTGCTCAGCTCTCTTGTTAGCACTCTAAGTGAGCTATGGGAGCTAACAATGATAGTTCAACCTCTCCATTAATACGTAGCATAATTTCACTCGCGATTTGTTTATGAGGGACACGTATCACTAAAAAGCTTTTTCATCCCCGTTTATATACATCAGTCGTGCATGCCATTTGTGTCTCTACCAAGACTCAAAACCGCTAAACCTATTGATTTGGGAGCCAAAATCTTTATCTCTGAGTCACACGGTCAACGAGCAACACATCGCACTCGGGCTTTTCTACAAGGAATAGTTAGTTGTATTTTACTTATTTACTTTTGTATTTATATTATCTTGCACTGGAGAATTTTCAGCAGTAAGACATGAATGTATAGACATGAATTCTGATCGAATTGATGACCTCATTTGTAGTAGCCAATAGAAAAGTGCACAACACTTCCATGCACGCCCCTAGTTGTTCTCTTTGATCACTGCGAATTGAAATTCGTTTGAGCAAAATTAATGAGATATTTGTCAACCGTTCGCGCGAGCGAATCGTTGATCTACTTTGATCCAAGTGGAGGTTTTGTCTATATGTGTGTGAGAGAGACAGCGAGAGAGAGAGAAATAGAAAGGTCAAACTTTTATTACTTCAAGGTAGGTCCTGACTGCATGCTGCTGTATGGGAAGAGTGACGCTAATAACGGATGAAAGGAGACAGACCAATATCCTTCAACAAACTCAAGGACTTATGAACTCAATTCACACATTGCCCTGTATTTTACCTATTCACGTGTACTCCTCTCATTAGATTATTTCCAGTCCCAGTCAAACAAAGGTTGAACAATGAATAAATAAACAGTCTCATTTGTTTAGACAATTTGGAAGATGTGAGTATTGAAAAATTTTAATTGATTAAATATGTTTAACTTCGTCCTGCAAAGAGCAAATAGAGCGCGAACTGTACAGCTGAGATGCACTGGACAGCTGTTTTGACCTGGCTGGATCTGATTAGCAGATCTGCCGATTGATTCAGGGACCTCACAGACAACATATGAGCACACTACTCACTTGACGACAGGGCAGCTGATCAAACCTTTTTCTGTTTATCCACATATGATACAACACAATCCATGTTTTTAAGGTTGATGCAAGCATCACATCTCGCTCATCTCAGCACCAGCCACCCTAACAGGTCCTTATGCAGTTTTCACTAGCTTTTAAGTTCATACAAGTGTCTATGATTCTTTGTGAGGACCGGAGAGGGCTCGAAATCTTGTATGAACCCTACCCACATCATTTTCCATTCTAACTACAGGCAAAAGATTTGCACTTTCTTTCGACTAATTTTCTATGTACTTAGGACTTATTTTTCGATTTGATGTAAACCGAAATCAGCAACTAGAACGCAGGCAATTTTTTCCGCCTAAATTTGTCCCAACCCCAAAAATTGTTCTTAGAATTCTTTTTTCAATTAGTATGTAAAACGTAAAACAATCTGGTGTTTAAACAAGAAGGTTCTGATAACCAAATACAGCGTTTCAACCAACAACAGTCAAAAGAGGGATAAAACCAGTTAGAGAGTCATTTCTATGATAATTTGACTGATCGCGTCAAAATCGGATTAGGAACTAGAAGAAATTCGTCGTTTACAGAGCAAATGAAGAGTGAACTGAAAAGCTAGGAAGCAATGAACAGCTGTTTCGACCTGGTTGGGTCTCATCAGCAGTGCGAATCTATCCACCCAACTGGGGATCGAACCCGGGACCTCATGAGCAGAACGCAAGTATGCTACCCACTCGGCCACCGGGTAGATAATCAGACCGTTTTTCATTTTCCATTTTCTATGAATTAGCACAACCTATCCTTGTGAGATTTTGAGAGCCAAGCTCCTCGCTCATCTCAGCACTAACCTCCGGACTTATGAATCAACTGTAAACGTCCACAACCTGACTGCTTGTTGCATGATGAGGATTTGATTCAATTTCACAAGGGAATTTGTCGTGTAAAGAGTAAATGAAGCGTGGACTGTGATAAGATGTGATAAGGTTCCATAGATCATAGAACCTTCCGCATCCAAATTCCTGTCCTTCAAAAATTGGAATAAAGCTATCATTTAATAATTTATGGAAATTACAAATCAAACGGACACCAACAAGAAATCAAACTGAATAAATAAAATACAACAACACTACATGCATACTTCTATCAGACTTCTATACTGTGAGTACCTTTGATAAGGCATTGTCTGATTTTACCGATCCGTTTCGTGTTCATCCCAAACTGCTTGAAGTTTCAGTTGATCTATAACTAAAGTCTATTACGGGGAATTGAAAATGATTTGATCTAAGCAGAGCACGGCTTTCAAAATCGCTCCTCACCTATGACTTTTCATCATAGTTTCACTTCTATTGGAAGGAAGGGTAAGACTAGATAGGCAAATGCATTGTGATTTTGTCGACTGCCACGGGATTACGACAGAAAGTGGCTTTGCATTTGATGTACTACATCTGGCCCAAAGGGGCTAGTTTAGTATATGATACATATTTTTCTCCTGGTATTCTGTCCTTCTAGTTCATGCAACACCGTGACGCATAACCGAACCAGAAGTGATCTAACATACGACGATTGGATAGAAAGTGATGGTTGAATACGATGCAGTGTGATCATGTAACGTGTGAAACCAACAGCATCAGGTGGTTTGTCGTTCCAGTGATGATTTGAGAAGCAATCAGTGGGAGTAGTAATGAATAACTATTATACCAAAATCATCCACTCGTGGATCAAATATTCATCCCTCCATTCATAAAACGGGACAGTGTACGAAGCCTACGGCTACCACCATTTAACCTTCCTTCAAAGGAAAGAAAATATTTTAGTTGCGTGTAAAATACTCGACTTCCATAATTTAAACGGCTGTTGGCAGAAATTTTTTTTTTTCTCGGGCTAATAGATGAAAATAGCTTGGTTTAGTCATGATGAATAAAAGCCTAACTACGAGGTATTGGTGATAGGAAAGAGATGCTTTAGAGTTTACAAACAAGTATCTCTGTACCCACCTATTTGCCATCTACCTATCAGTATTTTTTATTGTCTGGAGCCGTTTTCACTGTAATGAAAAAATGCAATTACTGCGCTTAGACTGGGCATGAATGGCATGAATTCGTCCTTTATATAGATCTAAAGAAGTCTTTTTGCGGTACTGCCCATTAGCAATGCATTCAGTAAAGAAGTCATTCCGGGATGATGCTAAATTTCATTTTATCATAATACCAGAGGTTTTTCATACTGTTCATGCCGACAATAATGTAACTCGTTTCATTTAGCTTATAGGTATAGGCATTACGTGAGAACTGCAAATTTAGAAATTGTGATGACCGTATTTAATGCGAACGAAAGACTGTTAACGCAGTTCGATGCCCGTTTGTAACTTTGTAGTTAACTGGGTTCCATCCTCAGTTGGGTCAGTGATTCACACTCCTGGTGAGATTCAATCAGATCGAAAAAGCTGTACAATACTTCCTAACTTTTAGTTCACGTTTCACTTGCTCTAGACTCGACGAATTCTTTCTTTGAAATTGAATCAAATCCTCCCATGCTCTAATTAAAAAGTGTCATCTCTTATCTCGGGTCTAATACTGTGAACGACTATGGTAAATCCACTCTCTGAAATGGCACCGACCAGTGTAATCTTACAATGACGAGTATTCAAAGCGATCAGTGGGAAAACCAACAGAGCAATGCCACAGTGCAAAGGGGATGTTTATTCGACTCTTCAATAGGACGGATGAGAATAGCCAGATACGCTTTAATCCATACTTGTGTTAAATCAATCGGATGTCATAGTAACATACAACTGCCAGATGTTTTACGTGCTTGCTTGCATATCGATCGTAAGGAATTGTTGTTCAGAATTTGGAACCAAACCTATATTCCATCATCCGCTGTTATTTCAATTTATGCTGTTTACTCACACCAGTCGAACCAGTCTTGTTGATAACAAAGCCTATGAGAACTTGAGTAATAGATCGTTCAATGTTTTTCATTGCACCGATTCCGTTCAGGGCATTTGTGATTATTTTTCCTCAACCTTAATAATTACATTGCAAAATAATAACAAAAGTTATCGAAACCGGTTCAGTTATTCATATGGTTGTACTGCCACGAAATGTTGCTCAAAATACTTTGTTCACTGAGAGAATTCTGGCCTATTTGTGTTTGTATAATTTGACTGCGTTCAAAAGAAATAATTTCAATTATTTATTTAGGTGATGTGCCGTAAATACGGACCCGGGAGCAAAGTAGTGTTCCGAATAGTCTGCGATTAAATTAAAATCGGACACGCATGCCATAATTTCCAATTTCTAATCGAATTAGAGACGTTCCGTTAGTCGGTTTTATGTATACATTGTATGAGATGATGCTGGAACTGTGTGCGATTGGATCCTGATCACTTTCCCTCAAGCAAAACCAATTACATCTTCAAGATTTGTGCATCGTATTACAGATCTTGCTCAAATGGGTGGCAAATTTTTCTTCAATCTCGTCAAAGAAGGTGATAGTGTCACGTTCGCCACGGACGACATGAATGAACGACAACAATGGGTCCAAGCAATTTACCGGGCAACCGGTCAAACCCACAAACCTGTAACTCCACCCAAAGATGGCGCGACCGTGGTGGTCAGCAATCCGACCATGAGTTCACGTGCAGCAGCACCGAGTCTAACCGGACGATCACAAGGAGGTAGGTGTCAATGTTTATGGTGTGAACGCGTGGACGACAAGCCGTTTATTTTATGCACACGTTCCCAGGTTTTTTGGTGTGTCACACCAGTTGTGAAAATGCGGTGTGAGCAAAAAGTTAATGGGCGATTCACGGGTAAATGATAGCGCACACACTTGCGTCCCTTCAATGACACTCACACCTTTTGATATGAAAATGATTCCCATTGTGAATCCCGCTCATGATTGAAAATTACTTTCTTGAGTATAATGTGTACACTGTTTATTCCGTCACTTAAATTGATATTCGAAACACTTAATCCATTAATCCAGTTGATTAGCACAATAATGCATACACCCCGCGACAAAAGTATTGCATAAACCCTAGATTTTTGGATTATCTCTGTTCCCATATACACGACCATCACAGTTTTGCTAATCCAGACGGTAGGCAAGTCAAAAACCGGAATACTGAATTTCACCTAATTTGCTTTTGTTTTAATGAAAATATATCGAAAAAACCCATTTCCATCTCTACGAAATTACTACACGTAGACTTCACACATACAATTCAGTCCAAACCAGTAATAAGCAGACTGCACACAACAACATGCTCACAGAAACGATGAGAATAGTTTGCTGCGTACGGCCTCAAACATCTCGGGTTATGAATACGAAATAAAACGTTAATTTAGTGGAATGTTCTTATACGAACGGTACAGCAAACACTGATAACAGTCGACTGAATGAAGAGCAAACTAATGAAAAGACGGCCTGTGCTAATCGATACTGTTTAATATAGATATTATCCAGTTTACTAACATAAGATAGATGTGGGCAAAAATGATATTGGCAATCTATTTCATGGGTTCTTATTCGTCACTTAAAGCAAAGAGACATCCAAGTTAAACTTAGTCACTGAAACTAGGTGGTGAACAAGGCAGCTGTTCGAGTTTCGTTTGACTAGGGCAAGAAGACAAAAATATGACAGTATACTATAAAATCGGATTGGTAAAAACAACATGGCAACTCCGGACACTTCATATGATAGACTTCAATTTAGCATTTAATGAGACAATGGATTTGACCGCTTTGTGTGAAGGTACAGATGACCGAGTTATTGGAAAAACATTCGGTTGTATTTGAAGGTTCCGATTAATAAGCTTTATCTTGAGTTTTTGCCACTTGTGTTTTTCATGACCAGACGATTTTACTGAACTACATTGCAATAAAACAAATTGTTGTGTCTCGCCAAAAGCTGTCACTGACCCCGGTCTCACGTTGGTTAGCCTTCCCTGACACCTAGATTACTGGATTTGAGAAGATTGGACGAGGTTCTGGGGTTAATAATAATAAAAGCACGCACTGACTATCCATTCCCTTTTCAGTACACTGAGCAGAGATCGAGAAGAAACCTTTTGGAAAGTATTCGTAGTTGCCAGAAACACTCTTTTAAATCCAAAAGACTATCCAGGCCAACGTTGAGTGACGCGCAACCTCAGAAGCCAAGTCCAAGTTTTCTAG